TTATTATTATTATTATTATTATTATTATTATTATTATTATTATTATTCAGTTCTTTTGCTGAAGGTTAGAAACCTTTCTAACAATGATGGTCCTGTAATCTCCTCTCCCAGCGTTGCGTAGGAACTGTAAGGCATGAAGGAAGCCACTTCCCTCCGTTCTGTCGCTTCGCACAAGGTCCTTTTTCCTCACTCTTTAACTGCCAGAGACAGGTTCACAACACACCCACACACACTCACATACTTCTAATTTTGCCACGAGCCCCACCCCCACCCCCCTTTTTTTAAAGTACTGATAAGTCATGGCAGGACTTCGATTTGGCTTTGAAGGCCATCTTCTTGTTGTTTTTGGCCACCATTTTCCCAAGGAACCGCTTGGCCTTCTTACTGATGCTTTCCCTCCTCTTCGTGTTGGCCATTCTTCGGGCATTGTCTTCTTTGCTGTCTTTGCGTAGCCGAATCTGCCGGACGATCCCCTCAAAGAGATCTTTGACGTTGTGATGAAGTGCGGCTGAGGTCTCGATAAACTTGCAGTCAAAGACAACGGCACAAGCCCGTCCCTCTGAGGGGTGGAAGAGAGAAGGCTGAGGATTAGTTCAACCATGCAGAATCAACGCAACACAAGCTCTGCTTCTGGATTTGGATGGGAATGGATCATAGGTTAAGGGTTGGAAGGTGTAGGACAGGAGATTGTGCAAGTGCAGGCATGAAAAAGAAAGGGTATCTCAGGTCATGCAGATTCCTAAAGTAATCCAAGATTGTCTTATCAGGACAACAATGGAATGAATGCAGATACTCTACTGCTTTCTTGCAGCGGTATCTCAGTGGTGGGACATCTGTTTTCCATGAAGTTCAATCTCCAGAAAGAGAACTCCAGAAGTTCAGTCTCCAGAAAGAGAACTCCAGAAGTTCAGTCTCTAGAAAGAGAACTCCAGAAGTTCAATCTCTAGAAAGAGAACTCCAGAAGTTCAATCTCTAGAAAGAGAACTCCAGAAGTTCTGTCTCCAGAAAGAGAACTCCAGAAGTTCAATCTCTAGAAAGAGAACTCCAGAAGGAAAGAGAACTCCAGAAGGAAAGAGAACTCCAGAAGTTCTGTCTCCAGAAAGAGAACTCCAGAAGTTCAATCTCTAGAAAGAGAACTCCAGAAGTTCAGTTTCTAGAAAGAGAACTCCAGAAGTTCAGTCTCCAGAAAGAGAGCTCCAGAAGTTCAGTCTCCAGAAAGAGAACTTCAGTAGTTCTCTCTCCAGAAAGAAAACTGTTCCCTGAAATAAGTACAGCTATGGCTATTCAACATATTCAACGATGTGATAGTTGCAGTGTCCCAGGCTTGTGTGATCACTTCTGACAAGCAAAGTCAAGGTGGAAGCCAGATTCACTTAACGACCATGTTACTAACATAACTGCAGGGAGTCCCTTAAAAATGTGTCAAGAAAGGTCATAAAATGGGGCAAAAACTCACTTCACTGCCTCGCTTAGCAAGACAAATTTTGGGCTCATTTATATTGGTCAATCAAGGACTACCTTTATTTATTAATTTAACTGTTGTTGTTTTTTGCCTTATACATCACACACAGTTAGTATTTGTGAGATGGGTGACAAATTAACAAATGGTCGTAAATTACTCTTAAGTAACTTGCTAGATTCCTAGACCTACACAAAAAGGCCATTCATCCTGGTCTGAGTAACTTTCCCAACCTGCTGCTCTCGGTTGGGCAATGAAACTCATAATGACCAGCTAGGATGTCTCATGGCACAAGGAGCCACTAGTAAAACTGAGGCAGGGAACTGTTCGGATTATTTTCTAGGAGCAAAATGTTTCCCAGCCACTGAGAAGCTGCACTTCAAAAGGTTCACACAGTTCAGCTCTCCGCTATCATTCAGAGGTGCATTATGAGCTGGGAACACATAGCAACCATCCTTGTGGCTGATAAGAAATTCCATTTGTTTACTGTTCTTAACACACCTAAACGCACACAGATTTTCCTCCCACTCTATTCTTGTTCTTTGCTCCCACCCCTTAAATCCACAGGCCTACAATATTTAGATAAGAGGACAGACACAAACTTCAGAGGATAATTAGCTGCAGGAAAAACAGTTAACCTGCTTTCCCTCGAGGACCTGTATACTGCATGAGTCAAAAAGAGGGCTGTGAAAATATCTACAGACCCCTCACATCCCCGACATAAACTGTTTCAACTCCTTCTCTCAAAATGATGCTATAGAGCACTGCACACCAGAACAACTAGAGACAAGGACAGTTTTTTCCCGAACGCCATCACTCTGCTAAACAAATAATTCCCTCCACACTGTTCAACTATTACAAAGCTGCACTACTATTACTATTAATCTTCTCATCACTCCTATCACCCATCCCCTCCCGCTTATGACTGTATGACTGTAACTTTGTCGCTTGTATCCTAATGATTTTTATTGACTGTTTTCTAGTATGATTTGGTTGCTTATTGTATCCTATGACTTTCATTAAGTGTTGTACCTTATGATTCCTGACTCTTGACGAATGTATTTTTTTATTTTATGTACACTGAGAGCATTTACACCAAGACATATTCCTTGTGTGTCCAATCACACTTGGCCAAAAAAGAATTATATTCTACTCTACTCTACTCTACTCTACTCTACTCTACTCTACTCTACTC